AAACAAATTATATTGACAGCTAGAAAAACATCATAGCGCTTATGTCATGCCAGAGAAAATACTCACACAGTTCCATTTATGAGAGCATTGTCGATGCGTTCAAGCCTAATAACAAAGTACGATAGTAAAAAAAAAAAACAATTAAGAAAATGTAAGATCTGAATTCAAAGAACTAAAAATAATAAAAATTTTACATTTCCTAAAATTAGGGCCACTAAAAATAGACTGTATATAAAATACTTGTTCTATATACAGAATTAATACCCTATTTGTTGCTACCATTTTGAGTGAAATAATGAATATTACAACCACAATATCGTCTAAAGAATTACATTTAAAACGTCATTACCTATTTTCCACTATTAGTGTTGGAATTATTCTCCAAAATTATATGGTACTATCCTTGACGTTTAAACTTAGTAATAAAAAAACGAAACACCAAAATCGGTTTATAATTGAGGAATATATCGCGTAACATAATATTGAATGTTAAAAAAGGACATACTATAAAGTTGTAAACCTCCTCCTTTTTAAATGTCGATTAAAATGTTTAATACACTATTAATTCGTGTTCGAATTAGCGTAAGATTTCTTTATTATATTTGTGTCACAGCAACGTCATCACATTCAAATAATCGTTTAGTAATAACAACATTCGTTTTTTTTTTTGTTACGAAAATATGAATTAAGAGTTATTAAAAAACTAACCCTTCCTATCTTTTCGCTTGTAACAAATTCCTTAAATGGGAGAAATGTGAGAAACTGAGTAGCATTTTACCTAGCATCGGGAACTAAAATCCGTTACCAGATTGCAGTAAAATTCTTCAAACTGTTTTAATCGTGTATGTGCGATAAAAATCCAAACATAAATTTTCACATACAATTATGATATTAAGAATAAGTTTATTTCTTTATTATATAAATGACATTAAATTCAGGATTGTTTTGAGAAAAGAATTTATAAAAGTAAACATTTAAAAATTAAAAAGTAAACCTTCAGCCTTAACCCACTGTTGGGCACAAGTCTCCTTTTATTACTAAAAAGGCTGTAGAACTATTAATCCGTGTTGCTTCACGGCATAAATTTTTAGATATTATGTAGATTTGCCCACGATGTTTTCCTTCATCGCCGAGTTCGTGGTGAATCATCAATTAAAATATTAATTAATAATTCAATTATTTGCTAGTATATTTTCGAATTTACAGAGGGTGCTTTACCTCTGACCTACAAAGGCTCTCAAAAAACAAAAATTCGTTATGAAATAACTTCCAAGTAATAAATTTGTTATGGTTTCCAAGTTTTTTCTTTAATCCTCTTAAGTGCTCAAATCAAATTTACGTACGTCCAATAAACAAAGATCTATCTGCATAACTTGGACCATTTTATCGGAGCCGGTAAATTGTTCTACCTAAAGAACAAAATTTACTCTCAAACCTCTAAGAAAGTTATTAGGGGACGCCATTCTATTATTTTGTCTACGCTCTTATTATTGTAAGAGCTTTATCCGCCGTAGAACACTGCATTATGTGAAACTCCGCTTATTTTAGAACTAGTGCATGTTTAATGTTATGCATATTCATATTACGTTATCGACAGATTATATGATTTGTCTCTACACAAACGGCGTCGTCTATTTGAAAACGTTTGCTGATTTGTAAAATGTTGAAGGCAAATTGACGATTCTTCTAATCATATTCTTTTAGCCAAGGGACATATGCTAACATTTCATTATTTGGCGCATAATTTATCCACTATCTCACTATATTATTTATCGTCGTCCAAGGCACAACAACTATACTATCGCTAATAAAAAACACAAAATCAACTAACAGAAGACGTAGTTATAAATTGAAATTGAAGATTACATTACTCAAACTAGCAAACTATTGCAAATACACAACGCTGTTTGTTTAAAGACAAATCATACAATCTACCGACAGCGCAGCGTACAAATTTAATGCTATCCTAATTAAGAGAAATATGGTACGTGGAGGAGCCTTAGAAGCAGCTTTATTATGGTTGTAGCACGAATGGGCCGGCTCAACTGGAGAAACACCACGCTCTCACAGAATACCAGAGTAAATTAGCAGCCCAATGCTGCTGTAATTCTTATAGTGAGTGTAGAGAACCGGAGATCCTTTTTACTGGAAACGACGAATTTCTACTTAGTCCTCAGGGGTGGTAACGTATCTGCATTTTGATTTTTAATCGAGGATCGATGTAGATATCTATACGCCACAGCATTAGTTTACCATCAGGTGGACTGATTGCTCGTTCCTCACCCGTATTCTTTAAAAAAAAGGTAATTATTGGCAAAGCATAGGTATATTGGAAAATATTGTCAGTATAAATTAAATGAAATTAAACAAACGCTTGCCAACTGATAAAAAGCACGCAAAGTGGATTTATTAGTGTTAGTTACATTTATGGATTTTCTTTGCACGAAAATACAATCATGAATCTACTAAATCTGCTGCTACGTATTAAAATTCCACGAATCATAATAAATTGCTACAGCTCTAACAGCTGAATAAATTTCACTTATTACTTTTATAACTGCAGTAATTCATGGTCGAAACTACAATGACCTGGCATATTATTGTTCGATCCAATTTAAAACTTACGCTAGGTAACTGGTACACAATAACAATTTCATTGTATTATGAAATCAAGTTGAAGTGATTTTAGTACATTGTTGTGGGTATAATCACACATATAAGATTATTATTTAATTAAACGTATGTGATTTTTGCTGTGCTTATAAAAGTTTATGTTCTTTATGTGTTTTAGTAATTTTATCATAATTAACAGACCGCAAACAGTGCATTATTGGAAATGGAACTCTGGCTTTTAGGTTCGATTTGCCGTAAACGTTTGATACGTGGTAGAGCCATGCTGCAGTTATGTTAGAAGTATAGTTGTAGCATGAATGAGTCGGCTCGACCGGGGAAGCACCATGCTCTCACAGAATACCAGCGTAAAATAGTAGCTTAATGCTGCTGTGTTTCGTATGATGAGTGTAGAGAACCGGAGACCCTTTTTACTGGAAACGAGGCATTCCATCTTAGTCCTCACGGGTGACAACGCATCCGCATTTTGATTCGTAATCGAGGATGTCTATGGGCCACAACAACCACTTACCATCAGCTCGACTGTGTGCTCTTTTGTCACCCTGTCCTATAAAAAAAACTATCCCGGTTGGCAAACGGATTTGTGCATGTCTGACTATTAATATGAGTAAACATTATTGCTCTTTATATTCGCAGATAATTATTGCATTATCTGACTCAGATTAAATAACAGATGATTTAATAAATGTCAAAAATAAAAATAGAAGTATGTCCTCCATATCTTACGTAGCCAAACTGCAATTTGCAATAAATTATTGCCAGTATCGAAATGATTTGTCTTCGCTTCGGCCTGAAACTATCCTAGCTCTCCCGTATTACGAACTGGAATACCTAGGTATTCTACCTACCTACACAGATACTTATATATAACAGATGTACGGTACCTAAACGGATGTACCATTGTCGTGCCTGTTTCAGTTTACATTAACACAGAAAAACAATTAGTAAGAATATTTATGTGAAAACTTAGTTCCGAAACTTGTTAAAAATTGAAAAATCTGAAGTAAGAGAAAGAACTTTCAATTTAAATAGCTCAATTGCGATTGATACTGCATATACACAAAAAAATACTAACATGTCCATTCGAGGAGCACGCCACATTCTTATTCTTTTTCTTTCTTCTTCATTAGTCCATAAAAGTCTTCAGCTGGACATTGACCTCTTCCGAAGCAGCGAAAAGAAGGAAATTTTTTTCCCGTAAATACTTTTAATGATTTTCACATTACTACTAATATTCCCTATTAACACTATTAGTAATCTTAAAATGCTTATGCTACAGTTACAGCCTATATACCTTCAGCTGCTGGGACACATGCCTTCTCTTGATATTTCGAAGGTTTAAGGACAAGGACACGTCTACCACGCTGTCCTAATGCGTAATGGCGCACTTCAAATAGCTTTTTTTTCTGAGAGGAGCAGGTTTTTTAACGATGTTTTCCTTCACCGCCGAGCAAGTGGTAAATCAGTACTCAAAATTGAAATTAACAATATCACATGTGTCGGTGGGGATCGAACCGGGCTTACTCGCATACTATTCAATTTACGGCGAGTGCTTATCCCCTGGCGGGTTAGTACTACAGTTCCTGCTGGAAGATTTTCCTTAATCATCACATTTGGTAGGCGGGATAACGACCGCAATATCAGTCCGGTACGAGTATTTTTAGTCTAGTATAAAAGATATCATTATACCGCTCTCTATCGGATGAATAAAATAGAATATTTTAATTCAATACAGACATATAAGTAAGTCTTATTGAAAATATTTTTTTTAACTTTCACCTTGATTCGGAAAAACCCTCAGTCCCGGAAAAAACCAGCCAGAGACTTAGTGGGACAACACGCAACCGTATTTTTAATTTTCAATTTGAGTTTCAAACATTGTACATTTTGACCTATTATTCTTTTTACGGATTTCAAAACGGAGGAGGTATTCAATTCCACTCTATGTTTTTTTGATTTTGTTAGTTACGTCATAACTTTTCTCTGGGGGAACCGATTTTGATGATTCTTTTTTGTCTGAAAGCTGGTGCTTCACAAAATTTTATGAAGATCTGACCTGTAGTATTTGACCTATCTTTAATAATGCGTATTTAATTGACTTCGAATATACTTATTCGGTCGTATGGAAGTCGGTTTTATAAAACTTTTAATTTTTCCACTTGTATTTCAAACCAGTACACTATTGAGAACTGGGTTACGTAAATTATTGACAACCGATGTAAAAAAAATATATTGAAAAAGTTTGAGCACCACTACTAAATAGCTGCATCGATGTAATCATAACAACAGGCGACAAATCGGACGAGCTACAGTATTCAATGGCCAATTGATGCAATAAGATCGCAAGCGCATTTCGCCCCGCAAGCAATATGGCGGCTATTTTTTATGTGTACTCAATATTAATTTGTGGATTTTGTGTTCAAGCTTTGCAAACTATTAAAGGTATGATACTGTATAATATATTAATTTCTCCACATGTTGTATAAATTTTATTTGTTTTTCAAATCGCATCAATTGATTATGATATTATGAGTCAATTCAATCGCAAATACCAACTTTTTTAATTAATGTTACTGCTAAAATGATGTAATAAATTGTGTATTTTAAATATACGCCCCTTTATCCATGATTGCAAGGAATAAGAAAGTCTTATTATGGATAGTTCAGGGAGAATATGTTTTCTCTTTCTCATATAAACTTTTATACATTGTAATTTTTTGCAACGCCGTGTGCGGCGTAAGAGATTCCACTAACTCATGTAATTCCGTGGACGTTATGAGGTAATACAGGGAATTGAAATAGGATATGAGTAGTAGCATCATCATGATAAACCTTAAATTAGTAGTAGTAGAGCCACACCTCAGTTATATTATGGTTGTAGCACGAATGGGTCTGCTCGACCGGGGACGAACCACGTTCTCACAGAATACCACCGTAAAATAGCAGCGTAATGCCGCTGTGTTTCGTATGGTGAGTGTAGAGAACTGGAGACCCGTTTTCATTCAGGGTATGACAACGCATCTGCATTTTGATTATTTATATTAAAAAAAATTCACGCCTGTTAACCGCCCGCCAAGCGGGAAAGTATGACTAGTATTCCATCTGAAGAATTCTATCTGAGAGGCCTATGTATAGTGATGGACTGTTAATAAGTTGTAATAATTAATAAATGACAGATATTTTACTATTTTCGATAAATATTTAAAAGAGTTGTAGGCAGAGTAACAACACTCATAGTTTATACTCATAAACAGTAGAAGTTAGCTTACAAATATCTGGTTAAATCTTACATTATGCTACTTGTTTATACAAAGTACAAACAGTCACATTCTATCAAAACAAACTGCCTAGTTAGTCTACTGACCGGTGCGACTGCTGATCTTGAGGTCCCAGGCTCGAAACCCGGGTCGGCCCAAAATGAGTTGTTGAGTTTTTCTAACAAAAAATTCCCAGTAACAGCCCTGAGTCAGAAAATTGACTGTGTTTCACCTCCTTGTCTCGGAATAATATATGAATCTTAATGATCCCGAGTTTCTAAATACCCCAAGAGTGGTTCTATTTGTATTTCAAGAATAATCGTGCTCTTCACAAATATTTTAAAGATGAAGTAATATTTTGGTTGTTACCCTGCGCTTGTTTTATTCCTTAAAGCACTCAAAGGGTTAAAATGTTAGCTTAAAGTAAAGTAAAGTAAAGTTACAGCCTATTATATTTTTCATGCCTGCATTATATTTTTCATAGTATAATATAAATATCTATATTGTTTTATTGTAAATTCTCATTATATTATTTATTATATATATTTATATATACCTACTGCATAAATAAAGTTCCCATCCTTTTTCATTACCATTATTTTATTTTATTATTTTGATAACATCTTTCTCGAAAATAGAAATAAATCGAACATACTATCCTCGCAGGCGATTCCAACCTCAATGGGCATTGCTGAAAACCTGCGATAGCATTATGTTGAGTCAGTGCCCTTTTCAGCATCACATCACTCATGCAATTGGATCATTTTATGACTGTTTTTGTTATTTACTTTTATCTTCCATGTATTATTTTATTTTCTGTATCAAAACTGTATGAGTGTAAGTTGCTGAATAAATGCATGTCTATGTCTATGTCTATGTCTAAATTGTAACAAAACGCTGCTGTATTTCTTTTCGTTATTTTCTGGTAGGGAGGCGTGCACTAAACGTAGTCCACGGGACGCATCTGAATTTTCATTCCCAACAGAGGTGTCTATCAGTAACAACATCCAATTAGCATCGAGTGAACAGTGTGCTCGTATGTTACCCTTTCTTTTATTAAAAAAAAAACCGTCTCGCTGAGCACAGACCTATTTGGCAGAGAATGCAGTGAAAAATTATTTCTGCTAGTGTTTGTGGAGTTGTAATTATGGTTTAAATTTAATTATTTGTATAACAGTGTACAACAAACATAAAAAAAACCGCAGTGGTTACCCACGTCACTTGTACACTAATAAAAGTCTTTCTTCAGAGATGCTATATATATGATAGGTGTCACTCTGTATGTATAGTATATTGCTATAATAAGTGTGCCCTATGACATGCCATTCTATTATAAGAAATTCTAAAAGTTTCGTGAAGGAATCGCTGTAATTGATGCCAAATAGATACCTTAATAATACCTATTTTTAAACATTTTTAGGGTTCCGTTACCATCTTAAAAACCTATATAATTTTGCACTCTTCATCTACGTTTTCAGACGGTTACCATTGTAAGATGAGTAGTATTAAAATATATTTTATAGGTATATTATTTCTAGTATATTTAGAAAGAGATCCCTGTCCGTTAGTTTCAATGAAACTTAAAAACGGCTCGACAGATTTCGATGACATTCTTTGTGTGTTAGTTTAGATCCCTAAATGGTTCAGATTCAAATTTGGTACCGGTAGATAGCACTGGGGTCGAGATCCAGTAATTACCCGTGCAAAGCCGGGCGGATCGCTAGTATAGGTATATTTTACTTATGTCTTACCTTTGACGTATTATTAGATAGGTTTTTATAGAGAATAAGGGTGACAAACGAGTATATAGTCCACCTGATGGTAAGTGGATGCTTTGACTTATAGACATCTACATTTAACCTCGATTAAGAATCAAAATGCAGATGCGTTATCACGCCTGAGGACAAGGATGAAATGCCTCGATTCCAGTAAAACGGGTCTCCGGTACTCTACACTCATCATCATCATCATCAAGCAGTATTAAGCTGCTATTTTACGCTGGTATTCTGTGAGAGCGTGGATCTTCCCCGGTCGAGCCGACCCATTCGTGCTACAACCATAATATAGCTATAGCGTGGCTCTACCACGTATATAACATTATTTCATACTTACACAACTTTTAGTACATACGCCTCCATAACTAACTTTCTTATTTACTTTTTTTAAGGGTAAATTTCAGTAATACAAAATAATAATACGCATGCTACGAAATCTATGACATAATCAAGAAGAACACCTTAGTTATCAAAACTTATCAAACTAAACTTTAAATATAAAGTAAAATTCAACTTCTAAGTACTATAAAATAAATTATTAATAATTTCGAAATAATAGTTTCTAAGCTAACATAATAAGCCGTGGTAGCTCAGATGGTTAGCGCTCGCTGTAAATTTCACAGTACGCTAGCAACCTGGGTTCGATCTCACCGGCACCAATGAAATTATTAATTACAATTTTAAGTGCTGATTTACCACGTGCTCGGCGGTGAAGGAAAACATCGTGAGGAAACCTGCATGTCTGAGAAATAAAAATAAAATATTTCGAGGACATGTGAAGTTCGCCAACACGCATTGGGGCAGCGCAGCGGACACTTCCTTGCCCTAAAATCCTCTCAGAAATGAGAGGAGGCCTGTGCCCAGCAGTGGGACGTATATAGGCTGTAACTTTACTTTACTTTACTTTAAGCTAACATTTTAACCCTTTGAGTGCTTTAAGGAATAAAACAAGCGCAGGGTAACAACCAAAATATTACTTCATCTTTAAAATATTTGTGAAGAGCACGATTATTCTTGAAATACAAATAGAACCACTCTTGGGGTATTTAGAAACTCGGGATCGTTAAGATTCATATTAACTAAAGATATCGCGTAACATAAATATCAAAAAAAAAACAGCAAATTACCCATCGGGACTTTATTAAAACTTGTATCTTGAAGGTATCCGTCGTAGAGCCATGTTACAGCCACTTTGTGCTTGTAGCACGAATGGGTCGGCTCGACCGGAGAAGGACCACGTTCTCGCAGAATATCAGAGTAAAATAGCAGTTTACTCCTGCTGTGTTTCGTATGATGAGTGTAGAAAACCGGAGACCCTTTTTATTATAAATGAGGTATTCTATCTTAGTCCTCACCGATAACAACGCATCTGCGTTTTGATTTGTGGTCGAGGATAGATGTAGATATTAATGGATATAACAACTAATTACCATCAGGTAGACTGTGTGCTCGTTTGTCGCCCTTATTCTATAAAAACAAATTTTGAGTAGGCGAATAATTATTTAAAAAAAATATACGAGTATAGTGTAACCACCACAAATCAAGTGCAACTGCATTATAACTGGGTACTTTTTAGGTAGGTACTTCCAATGAAATCAATAAATTATAACCATCAACAATTTCACTCATAATAATTTTTTATGGGATAAGGGTGACAAACGAGCACATAGTTCACCTGATGGTAAGCGGTTGCTGAGGCCCAAACATCTACATCTATCCTCGATCACGAATCAAAATGAAGATGCGTTGTCACCCGAGAGAACTAAGATGGAATGCCTCTTTTCCAGTAAAAAGAGTCTCCGGTTCTTTACACTCACCATACGAAACATAGCAGCGTTATACTGCTATTTTGCGTTGCTGTGAGAGTGTGGTCCTGCCCCGGTCGAGCCGACCCATTCATGCTACAACTATACTACTAATATAGCTGCAGCATGGATCTACCACGTATTAATGATATTTACAATAAAAACAAAAGAATTCTTACAAATAATTTATAACTTCCTCAAATTTGTTTAAACATAGCCATTTTTACTTTAAGAAACTTAATTTTGAAAGGGAGCCAAAACTATAAGTCGTATATATAAATTAGGGAGTCTGATGCAGTCTCATAGAGTGCCTTGCCAAATATTGCATACATGAAAGTAAAAAGGAAGAAGTATTATGGTGATTATGATAGGCTTTTTGGCTACAAAGTGTAATGGCAGACAAAATATTACAATAGGAAAAGTCGGCTATTTTCTTTTCGTGGATTTGAATGTGATATTCTGATTTCGATTATTTTGATTTTTTGATTGCATCAACGACATTAAATTAATTATTTATTCATTTATTTTATTCAAATGAAACAAAGAATATCTTATTTTCTAGGATACAAATATTTTAAGATAAAGCTTAACAAGAAATACAATTTAGTGAACATCTGTGTCTGAACTAGATAACTTAATATCTGTGTTTTAGACAGCAGCGCTCTTCCCTTTAAGATTTACATTTCACTGTATATAAAAAAATCAAAAATCATTAATTTATAGTTGTAAAGTGTAGGTAACCCTCCTTGTGTGTAATGTGACAGTGTGTGTATGTGTGTAGGAGGTTAAGTATAATATTTATCTAGGTACATTAAGTAATTCTTCGGTTTCATTATAGTTCAGTTTATGAATATATTCAAATAGTTTCCTTTTGCAATCTCTAATATTTAAGCTTCGTACGTCCGTAATTTTGCTAATTATTATAAAATTATTATTAATTATAAAACGCCCGTCAGCATTACAATTGCATATTAAAAACTTGAGGATAAGTAGATAAGTAGATTTTGTGGACCATAAATACCTAGATCAATCCTCTATTAAGAATCAAAATGCAGATGTGTTATAACCCTTGAGGACTAAAATGGAATGCCTCTTTATCAGTAAAAAGAGTATCTGTTTCAATGCCTTCGACGTACGAATCATCAAAATATTGATTTAATTTTGGGTTTGTGTTCTACTAAAGCGTAGTCTTTGATATATTAACCGTTATATAACGATTATTCAGGCACTGCCATTAATAAAACTACCTCTTCAACAAAGTCAAAATTTTATAAATTACTTCAGTTCTTTTGAATATATAAAATTCCAAGATATTTTAGATCTAAATTAAACTAATTGATTATCAAGCAAAACTCTCTGTACTTTAGTAGTTTTACCAAAAAAAATGTTTTTTTTTTTATTTATTTTTCAAAATATACGTAAGAATGAGAGGATATAACCATTACGTTTGGTTAAGTGTGTCTATTCAGTGACATAGCAAATGAATGGAAAAAAAAACTACTATTGTCTCTAGACTGGTCTCAGAGCTAGCTAAAACAACAATAATGACTTCATTGTATAGAATATATATCTGTCATATGTTGTTTGGTGTAGACAAATAACAAAACACTTTGTGTTATTTTCAATAGCATTGTTTTCCATTTTCACCTGCCCGTATCGATGATGGCCGTTTTGGTGACAGTCTAGTCACCATGCTACATAGGTATATAGGTGAATACATTATATGATCTTGCACATTTGACACTACTTACCGTTCTTGAAGATTATATCACCATCTACTGGATCCCATGCGATCCGTATAGCATTTCTCATAGTAACGCTTACGACATACGTGGAAGTAAATAAGAAAATTAATTTTCGGATGCTTAAGCAAAAAGCTGAAATATATGTGGCATTGCTTAATATTATTACATTATAAATACAGCTTAATGCAATCTATAGCTCCATTTTGTCCGGTTATAATAGTTCAATAAAAGTCGAAAACTTTTGGCTTCCTATAGATAGTAGAATGAATGAAAGAATGCCCATTCAAAAAGGCAGGGCCTGATATTTAAATATAATCTGTAAAGTATAGCAATGCCTTATGCACGGAGTCAATGGTTGAGGTATATTAAAATTATGTCAGTCAATCTACAAACAGAATAATACTTCAAACAATATAAATGATTATTTTACCATACAGCTTTTATAAGCTGCTAACAACTGCGACAATTCCCAATTTAAGATAAATAAGATCGTTGATTTATAAGAAATGGTTGACAATTATGTTTAAAAATTTTCTTTGCTCTCTCATTCTTTTAAAATAATGTATTTTTTCAGCATTCTACTGTCGGGACCCAGATACAGGAAAACTGTACCCTGTTAATTCAACATGGCCTTCTCAGTCTTTTTGTGGAAATTATACTTGTAAATTACGAAAGAAAAATATCACTGATACTGAGCATTCTCCGATAAGAAAAGTTAATATTACTAATATAAATATCAATTTTTTAGAAAGCGATGGAGATATGTCTTCAAGCCCAAGTGAAATCGTTAACATTGGAAGAATTATTGATCAAGGAATGGGTCATTTATTAAATAAAGAAAATATTTCAACAAAATATGAGGCGAGCGAAGCAAAAGAGACTGGATCTAATAAATACAATAATGAAGGTGACCGCTATTTAACTGAAAATGAGATTAAAACTATAACAGAGATGCTTTATACAGTAAAGAAAAGTGATCTGGAAGCTATAGTTGATATTTACAACTTAGCTCAAGATATATATAAAGAAATGGACAAAGATACAACTGAAACTGTAATTCAGGAAACAAAGATGCCTCTTCAAACACAAAACAAAGTTGATATTAAGCAAGAGGCCGCAACTAAAAATAAGCAACGAATCTCGTATTGGTATGAGCCACTACATTATCAAAATGATAAAAGCAAATCAGAAAATGACGTGAATTATGAGAGTACAACTAAAAGCACAAGCAATCCTAATACCTTTTTCAAGGGGTCGTTGACAGAAAAAGATTTTAGAAAACTTCCTTATTATTATCCAATATCGAATTTCCAAAGGATATCTTCATACACCCACCCTGGTAAACAAAATGTTTATCAGAATACAGGTAGTGAACACAAGCCATGTAAAAAACCAATATCCAACAGTAATTATGTGTTACCACCATGGATTAACAAGTCACTCAAAAAACCTTATAAGGCAGCATCATCACAAAACTCTTTCGAACCTTCACTTCTTTTGCCTTTTCCATTTGCCTACGTTAACAACAATAATCTAAGTGGGTATCCACCGAACTATTACTATGGTGGGTACAGTGGATATCCTTGGGCGCAATTCAATGTATACAACAGAAATCGAAACTATCAGCAATCGTACTTAGGAACGGCTTACATCGCTCAGTTGCCTGGTGAAGCGATATACGCTAAACCCGAAATCCATAATGAATACGAATATCATAGCAACAGCATTACAAAAGAAGATATTATAGACATAATAACCAGTATGAAAAACAAAGACAGCAAGAAAATGCCTGATTGGCAAACTGATCCACTTCCAGCGCAAGTTATTGAAGAAGTAAGAGGGAATGCGGAGAAAGCTAAATCACTTATACCTTATCATTTAAGAAAGAAAGTGAAATTAGAAAAAGTTGGTAAGGTTATTAAACTTGATGAAACTGTGAAGACTAAACGAAGTATCACAGAAAATAACAGTGAAGCGGAAGAGGATGACGACGTTGAAACTTATATTGTTAAAACCACGTGAGTATTGTTTTTTAATTGCTCATCAAATATCACCATTTAATCAATAATAGATACACCAACACATTACTTTTTTGTGGGGTTATAGTCCAACACTGCTTGCATCTGTGCTTCCTTACGAACTCGTGCACTATAACAATATCCAATTTACCTGCAATTCCCCTGGTGTTGCGGTTGATCATGGGCGGCGGTAGTCACTTAACATCAGGTGAGCCGCATGCTCGTTTGCCCCCTATTCTATAAAAAAAATATCCCGCACAAATGGCTCGTCTATTTAACACTGTGATTACTAGAATCAGACGTTACTTGGCAGAAATCCATTATGAAGAATTTAAATTCAAAATGTTGTAAAACACAACTAACCCCAGCACCAATACTCCCATTACCACTACACTCGAAAAAACACACCACCTTCTTCACCTTTACACGGAACACCCTCAGGGGTCAGGGTGGAGGCGAAAAATAATATGTCATATTTTTGAAGGTGTTGTGTCTTTTCTAGTGTAGTTGTGTCGGGAGCAGTGGTACTGAGATTAGTGTTATCGGGGATAGTGCACGCAATTGAGGGAGGGAGGAAGGTGCTCTTTCAAACTAGGTCAGAAATATCATTTTACTTCATTACGCCAAATAACCAAACTAAGTACGAACAACTTTATTTATAACTGGCCGAAGTGACGAAACATAAATACTATGTAATGAAAAATAACAATAAAATGTTTTTTTCTTTCACCTCATTATAATTCTTACTTTAAGAAGTTACAGGACGAATAGAGGCAAAGGCAAAACAGAGTTGTTTTTTCTAAGAATGACAAATAACCGTCCTACACCTAACACCTTTGATATAAAAAGTTGACAAATTAGTTAAAAAGAATGAGGAATAGGAATGCGCCCCTTTGTCCTGACAGATGTTACGACCGGCGCGGCGCGGCGGTCGGATTTTAATCATCGCCTTTTTTACAAAAATTTTGGTAAAGCTATCTGTCTAATATTTTTATACGTGTTATATTATGGGTTATATTTAAATAGTATAATATTAAAAAAATTTAGACTGCCTCGTTCGTTTAGTGGTTGTAGTAGTGCGACTACTGATCATGAGGCCCTGGATTCGAATCCCGGGTCGTATCAAAAAATCAATTACAGAGTTTTTCTGTCAAGAAATTCTCAGAAGTTGCCCGGAGTCAGGAAGTTGGCGGTGTCTCACCCCCGTGCCTCGGAAAGCACGTAAAGCCGTTGGTCCTGCGCCTGATCTCTCTCCGGTCGTGTCGGATTACCGTCCCATCGGGTCATGAGAGTGAGGGAATAGAGTGTGCACCTGTGCTTGCGCATACACTTGGGCACGGCCGCCGTGACCGAAATTCGGTCTGGAGGACATTATTATATTTAAATACTTGGAATTGTTGTCACTTGATGAAACTCCAGCTTTACTTCGTGATTTGGACAAACACTTGTACTACTTTCACAATATCTATTTTAAATTATCGGAATTAATGGAGTCTCACGTCATCATTGGGGTATGTAATTGTAACATTTCTCTGTATCTCTGCATTGGGCGAGGAGTTAGAGTATTGTCAAAGACCGAAGAGTTCCGTTGCGTGAATCCGAATATAATTTGTAAATAAAAATGTATTTAAATCTAATTTTTTATGGTTGAGTTTTCCGAAGTTATTTCCATACATAACGAGATTCCACAATTTCATTTACATGTTGTATATTAGGGGCATTCAATAAGAATTAGGAATCAGGAGAGTGAGAATGAAGCAGATAATGTAACAGGTAACCTTCTAGTAGCAATACGCTTGGAATGTCTTTTTAAAATACTTCGTTACTGTTGAAGCGAGATAGAGCATTGGTAAAACGTGTTTTGTTTCTGTTGTTCTACGTATTTCAGTTTTTGATTAAACAACGTACAGGCACGTATACCGTATCGTATTACGATTTATTCGCATCTTACCTCATTTTTCTATTTTTTATGAAATAAGGTCAACAAACAAGCACACTGGCCATCTGATGATTAGTGAACGCTGTAACGAATAGACATTAAATCTATCCTCGAATAACAATCAAAACAACAGAGTTGCCACCATTAAGGAATATGATGGAATATCTCGTTTCTATTTAAAACGGTTTCCGGTTCCCGGTTCAGCATTTAGCTGTTATTTCAAGCTGGTATTCTGTGAGAGCATGTTCTTTCCCCAGTAAAGCCGACCCATTTGAGCTGCAAACTTTTTTTTTTATTGAATAAGAGTGACAAACGAGCACACAGTCCACCTGATGGTAAGTGGATGCTGTGGCCCAATGACATCTACATTAATCCTCGATTAAGAATCAAAACGCAGATGCCTTGTCACCCCTGACGACTAAGATGAAATTCCTCGTTTCCAGAAAAAAAGGGTCTCCGGATCTCTACACTCACCATACGAAACACAGCAATATAAAGCTGCTATTTTACTCTGGCATTCTGTGAGAGCGTGGTCCTACCCCGGACAAGCCGACCCATTCGTGCTACAATCATAATATAGCTGCAGCGTGTCTCTACCACGTAAGTGAGGGAATAGAGAGTGCATCTGTGTTTGCGCATACACTTGGGCACTATAATGGTGCGCAGATGACTGGTCTCTGTTAAGACTGGCCGCCGTGACCGAAATTAGGTCTGGAGACTATGGCATTATGAATTTTAAATATATTTATTCCTCACATACTAGGATTTCTTATAACATCGAAGTGATAACCGAACGAATGGTCCGACTGATGGTATATGGCTACTGTAATTTATGGACTCCCGTAGCCAGCTTAAAACAAGACTACAAACGCTTGAGACTACTGTGGTTTATTTAAGGCGGAATGTCTTAGAGTCCATTCAAATACAAGCTATCTTAGACTCGGTGCGTATGTCGGCACTACAAGAGACCCTTCCGTTTGCAAGCGCAAACTGACGGCACCGTTTGCAAGCGCAAACTGACGGCACCGTTTGCAAGCGCAAACTGACGGCACCGTTTGCAAGCGCAAACTGACGGTACCGTTTGCAAGCGCAAACTGACGGCATTATAGACGCGGTAACTATAGGCATGCCGAAATTTCAACTTTAACCAGATCTCGTCGCACGCGCAGTCAGAAGTAGACGTGTCGTGTGTTGTTCTAGCTAATTATAAAATTCTAAAATTTAATTTTAACGTGATTTATATTTGGAATCTAATGTAGTGGTGCATAAAGTTTAATGTAGCTATAAAAGTTTCTTGATACTTCCTATGATATTCCTTTCCCTTGATATTCCTATTATAACCGCGTAATACAACGTTGCGACGCGACGTGCTACAGTGCTGCTCTTCGCCACACCCCCTCGAGTAAAGGACAAACAACCAGCGATTTTTCTTCCTGCGCACACGCATATTTTTACATACACAGTGTTAATAATCGTTGACCATCTTAACATGAGCGTGAAGCGGTCACCACCCGGTTCTAGAATGGGCTTACCTTTTAGTGGTGAATCCATGAGCGGCTTAAACACCGATCTACCTACTTACGATTATTATAAAATAACACATGGAAGACGTAAACAAATAGATGCAGATTTCGTGTCGTGTTATCAGCTGACAGAATTCAAAACTGAAATAATGGAATTATTCAATAATTTTGGGAACTCACTGAAGAAAGAATTAAAAAGTTTGAAAGATGAAGTGTCACAAATTAAAGGAGTAAAATACGACGTCACGATTATAAGGAAACAGCTGGAATCTATAAAAATCAGTACTGTGAAAATCACTTGCAAGCATAGTGAAATGATGAATGATATTTACGAATTAAAAAACTCATTAAATTATCATTCAGCTGAATAAACCACTCTGACAACACGTATTGATGATGTGGTATCGGAGATCAAAAAGGTTGATCTGTTGCAGCAAAATATATCGGAATTACAAGAAAAATATGAATCTTTGCGAAATGAATATAACTTCATGCAGCAATCCCCGAAAAAAAGAATGAAATTATTTCCGATTACGTTATTGCAATAGGCAAATACACTGGAATAGTTATATCTGCAGAGGACTTAATTTATGCCCATCGTGTTAAATCACGTGACAGCGACAATAAATCACCAAAAATTATTGTGGTTCAACTAAAATCAATCCTCTTGAGAGACAGCATCATCTCCGCTGTACGTAAGAAGAAGGGTTTAACTACAATTGACATAGGAATCCCGGGAGAGTCGCGAAATATATACGTTAATGAACACCTCACACCTGCAAATAAAATTCTGCTAAAACAAACCAGAGTCGCCGCTAAATGTGCAAATCCTAAATATGAATACGTGTGGGTTCGTAACTGTAAAATTTATGTAAGGAAAGACGATAATTCCTCTAAAATTCACATAAAAAACTCTTTAGATTTAAATAAAATTAAATGACTGTGTTACTTTAAGTTATGCCTATTGTTATTTATCTCAAACTGTGTACTCGTATTGTTGTATAATAGTGTGGCTGAATGTTTTTTAAAATTAAATAATGTTACTATTTATATATATACAAACATTTTTCAAATACTTTATTATTATACTATAGACTTATTATTTTATATAAACTACACACTTTAATCTTTATACTATATTGTTATTTATATTTAATATATACTCGTACATACATATGCACCTTTTATCGGTCTGTGTGGGTAACTCCTCGGTTAATATCGGATTCATGCTTACAAAACAACAAAGGAATGATAATTCCTTTAATATTAGTGATGTTGAAAAGTAATCGATTAGTTTTGTTTTCCGCTCTATATTCATATATGGTTACTATTTATATACACATAAACATTTTATATAAATACAAATTACGCTTAATATATACATACACATGCAACGATTGCTTGATTAAGAGGATTACCATTAATGTATTATCTAATATTTATATACAAAACTACATAAAATTGTTAAGTTCCAACCTTAGTACTTTATTTTCAAATACCTGCCAAAATTTATATTCTTATTGTGAGTCTAAATTACA